GGAGGATACGAAGTGCCATAACTCAGACGGCTCAGAGCGAAAATCGTAAATTTGCAGAATTAAAAATTTTACAGGTTCACTGTATGCGCGCGCGCGCGCGCGTGTATGTGTGTGTGTGTGTGTGGTCGGTAAATTGATCTCATTGTGTTTATCGATCTGTACGCGTTTGAACTTCACATTGAACCGTATTGAGACAAATTCATAACGTACATTGGATATTAAATTTTTAATTGTAGTGTGTGTGTGTGTGTGTGTGTGTGTGTGTGTGTGTGTGTGTGTGTGTACATGTGATTTTACATGGTACTTGACATATGTAAAATAATAAAACATAAAAATAAAAGTTACAGATTAAATGTCGATTTAAAGTGGAACAATCGTGACTCTTCAGAATTTATAAGGTGTACAGTATTGATGCATTTAATAATGAGCAATCTTCCAGGCGCAAAAATGCTTTCATAAGATAACAATATGCATGTCAGAATTTCGCTAGACCGGATAATAATTGTTACACACACCACGCTGTTCGATTAACCTCGGGTAACCCGACCGTGTCCATCGCGGGATCACGATAATATGATCTCTCTCTCTCTCTCTCTCTCTCTCTCTCGCACTATCTATCGTCAATTCGTGGTGTTGCACGTTCGCGGCGAACCCTCCCTCTTACTCAACGAACTTGGTCAATGATTCATGATTCGTGTTACTCGTTACGATATCAGAGCGATACACATACACATATAAATACGTACATGATAAAGTCAGCTATGTCTTTCTCCTAATACATTTTCTTATTCGCTTACTTAATTCCTCGAATTTTCTACCACGCGCCCGGCACAGAGCGAGATTAGGACCATCATGTTTCCTCAGGGCGACTATCATGGAGCAGAGATTCCTAGTTTATTTGTATTTTTTTAAAGAGACATTTGTAACTCGCAAAAAGATCCGAGGACATCTTGAAAGAGGACCATTCTTAATGTGATTAGAAATTAATGTGGTGAAGTATTTTGTGGATCGCCAGAGGCGTAACGTTCATTGGACAGTAATTACGACTTGCGAGGATCGGCCGGCCCGATCGAGGTGTACGGAAAGGCGGCGTTGCGAAATGACAGACGTCTGTTTTCTTTTATAAGTATCCTATCCCGGGCACGAAAGTGGCCGCCGGACGAGACACGGACACGTGGGAACGCATTGACATCTACTTAACTTTGCCAGAGTGTACCTCTATAACGTGCGCGCATGCTGTGTCCGACAGAAAGATCGATTAATGCGGCGCACTCGATCTCGGGCAGCAATTGCGCGCCGTGCGTGATCACGCTCGCCATGAAAGCGGAAAGCTAAAATAATTGCCGCGCCACATCGCGAATCCGGTCTGTCGCTATCGAAATAAATTGACGATTAAGTATAATTGCCGAGTTAGATTCTCGATCACAGACGATTGTTCAACTACGATCGTTCGGCCACTAAGCATGCACAATCGTTCGATATTACAATCTTAAGAACATTTTGATTCATGTATCGTGAGATGGGATAAGATTATAACGATTACAGGTAACGTTATGTCACAATAAAGAGATTTTATGAGATTTTGATTTAAGAAAACAGAGAAATAAATGTATAATATACACAGATGAGATAAACATGATTATTTATATCTAACAATAAGAAAATTTAATTAAACAGAAGGTAGAAAGAAGTAAATTTACAATAAATTATGTTTATTATATTTTAAATAAAAAAATAAAATCAAATAAATGTTTTCTTACTTCGACGTGAGAAAGTGTATCGTATTTTTAAGCTTTTAAGATATCTTTCGTGCTCCTAAATAGAAAGGAAAGTTTCTCTTCTTTCTCTTTCTCTCTCTCTCTCTCACAAATGTTTCCTCATTGTATTTTACCTTTGCACAGAAGACATGTATATTTACGAGAATTAATTATATCTGCGATCTTGGATCTTATCTTGTCGGACATATTTGGAATTCGCGCAAAAATGAAGCGGCAACCTCTTTAAATTCGTTGAACGGTACAACTTAAGCCGATCCGTACGTTTTCTCTGCCCTTTTTTCGTAACCAGTTCCGATTCTTCTCGACTTTCGGTCGGAGAAGTCTAGGGTCATCACGCCGCCGCCGCGCCGCCCACGGCACGGGCTGACCTGGCCGCATGAATGAACGCCAGGGGAACGGGAAAGCCCTTTTCGAGGGTGCTCACGTGGCTGTCACGTGAAGCAGACACACCCATTGTCTCTCCCGCGGGGTGAAGGTGCGTGCTTGTGTAAGTATATAACGCGCGTTTTTTTACTCTCTTCGTGTGCATTCGCGATGTGCCGCAGGTTGCAATAGCGGCCGATGAATATAAAAAAAGTCGGGGAAATAAAAGGATGGACGGGGAAACGGAAGCGCGGACGAGCTGCATTGATGCTAATTGCGAAATACGAGAAGCGTCGTCAGGTCGTCGTTTCGTTTCTGTTCTGTTAGAACCAATTAGCGTGCAAATATATAAAGCTAAATATACATATTTCGCGACTACACGAACGAAAGAATTTGTCGATCCTTCTATATCAGCAGTTTTCGCTTCGTGCTCGGAAGTTCATTTTTTACGTGCAGAGAATGTGCCCTATCATCTTTCCAAGTCCATAAAATCTTATATTTATAATGGTATAACTCGATTAACTTCCATTAACATTATGAAAGGTGGATTTTCGATTTCTCTCTCGAATATATGAACACGTTACAAGTCGAAGATAAATATCGCGACACCAATGTGCTCACAGAAAAGCACATATATACACACATTCACACATATGTATATGTATATATAAATCAATATTCGACGTGATACAAGTAAGGCTTAAAAGAATGTTGGATAAATGTGTTCGGAAAATCTCAATGTCTCACTAAAATCCGTTCACATTCTCTTTATGTTCTGTATTATTAATATTTTTGTATTCGAAAATTACGATTTGCGAATGTAGCTTTGAAACGCTCAATCTTTCGAATTCTCTTGCGAAAGAAGAAAGCTTTATGTGACAATTTCTCTTTGTCTCTTTTCTTGTTGAATTTTTCTTGATAAATATGTCGTAAAAAGACGGCTGTTATACGAAAAGTCTGCTTTTGCTGTGCGTGGAAAGTAAAATAGACATCAACTTTATTTTTTATAGTTTTCGAAACGAGAAATTCGATGGTGCTAGTTAAAATTTCGTCACGTAACGGAAACACATAAAAAATTAAATTTAAATCGGAAAATTAATAACGAAAATATTATACGCAACGGAAAGTTTTTATGTGCCTACATAAACTGTCTAATCTATGTCTAATCGGCGCGGCGGTCCGCCGGGTGGGGGAAGTCGACTTGCAAACGTACAAGCACACAAAAACTTTCCGTTGTGTATAATATTTTTGCTATTTATAATTTTTATGAGATATTCTATATTTTTCAATGTTAAAAAACGAAGCGTATCGTGCTGTGTATCATCGATAGATGTAGCATGTAGCTACCTGGCTCGCGAATGACTGCGCAATTTTTTATATTCCCGTTATATAATATAATTTTAACTAATACTATCGGATTTGTCGTCTCAAAAATTAAAAAAAAAATATCTATTTTAGTTTCCATGCACGAGCAAAGATAGATTTTTTCGTAATACCTTTTTTGATTTTCCTTTTTTAATCAGCACGTGTTTGTTGCATTTGTTTTACATATTTACTTCATTGCGATATGTATGTCAAAATATTTAGAATGGTTACACAACTATACATACATTTTTGTGAATAATTGTGAATGTTAGATTTTTATCAGTGAAAATGTCAGAAATTTACAAAGGTTTGTTTTTAAGTCATTGGGGTACGCTTGACATGTCATCTGGTTTCATTTGCAATTAATCATAATTTTTCAGATATGTCAGCGTTTCTATCGAATTTCTTCTTATCATATATTTCATTAATTGATATTTACTGAAAAATGATCCGTGTATTTTTTGTTTGATTCTTGTTTCTATTTCCGTTTTTCCGAATATTCTTTTTGCCCAATTATATGTAATTTTACAATCAAATTTTAAATATTGAAGAGACAGCGGAAATAATAAAATAGAGTATAAAAAAAGAATATAATTTATAATATATAAAAACTGTTAAAATAATTCACAGCCGTTTTATTTATCCGCGATGTGTTTTCGCGAATGCTATGTTCATTTGAACAAAAAAAAACTGTGTCTAAATCTTAAGTTATATCAATTTTAAATTTCTAACTCGTAATTTCCTTAATTCACGTTTTCGTTGCGATATACAAATACACGGCGTAATCTCTACATCAACGTTTTGGATCATAAAGTCAAAAAGTGTAAGTAGTCAGGTTGCAAAAGGTTGCGTCCCTCCGCGAATTCCTGCCAACAATTAAGAAGCAATAAAAGCCGTAGCACTATCGGATAGCCCAAAAGATCTCAAGTGAAATTAAAACGGAATGCTCCGGCGGTGCGAAACCTCGCCTTGCCGGCGCGCGTCTCATTCAAGAATATTCCGTTTCGTCGCGTTCCACGAAAGCAAGCGGCGCTCGCCGGCGGCGGCTCCGCGGCGGGCAGGCCAGGCGGGCAGGCGGCGGCGGTGGCTCGCGAGAGCCGCGCGCGGTTGCGTGTGTCGCGTGTCAGTTACATCGCGGCAGCGGACGCCGGCGGGCGTACGGTATCTACTTTCGATCCGCGTGATCCGTGAAAACCGCCGTTATCGTGCCGACAATGCCGGGCGACCGGGACGACGCCGAACGATTTTTCGCGCCAGTATGAATCGGCACGGTGAGAGGTGGCCGCCGCGCCGGGACGCGAGCGACAGTAAGTGTTGCGGGAGCGGAGGTATTATCCGCCGCGAATAATCACGTGTGCGGCTGGCAGCCTCCCGCGCCTCTCTGACTTACCGTGTATAACGCTGATCGGCTCTCTCTCTCTCTCGCACCGCGGCATCATTGTGCGTGCATGTGTGTTTGTGTAGATAATTGTGAGATGCACGTGCCTCGGCTCCGGTATAATACGCGCTTCTTCTTCTTTTCTTTATTGGCACCTGCTCCCGGTCGGGGGCAATCCGGCCAAAGTATAATACGCGCGGTACACGGCCGTTCGGCAACGCCGGAGTACGGTACACGAAATGACTCTTCGGGCATCGATCAAGGCGAGTGACGTTGCTTTTTATTAGCCGTATACTGCGATCACGAGATCGAATCGCCGCGTAAGCTACCACAGGAGTAGCAAGGATCCTCTGATAACATTATTTGTCTATGGACAGTGTCTGGTCGCGCGCGCGAAGAGCGGCGGTGCAGGACGCTCGGTGATTTTCGTGTGCATTTTTTTTTTTTGCCACCGTCGCGCATCGTCCCGTATCGCGAGGCACGTGACCTCCGTGAAGTTGCCCGCGAGCGCGACCGGCGGCCGCGTCGCAGTGAAGGTTGACACGAGTGGAGCGAATTTCGAGAGATGTCGGCGGCGTGAAGGAGCTGCATTTCCGCAGTCGATTGTGCGAAGTTCGCCGATTCGAAAGGTCGTGCGTGCGGCGACGCGTGACGCGGGAGCAGGAGAGAGAGAGAGGTCATCGCGCGTAACTTTTGTGATTTGTAACGACGGCGCGACGATCGTCGATCCTGTCCGGTGAGTTCGAATTAGCGTGGCGGGACGCGCGGAGCCGCCGACGGACGAGATTAATTATATCGCCGAGTCAACCGTCTGTCCGTCCGTCCTTCCGATCAACCTCGGTGCGCGTCGCGTGTCGCCATTATGCCGGCGTTCGCCGATCGAGCGTAATCCGTGACGTAACCTCGAAGTTCGCAGCGGGACGACGGCGGCACAGGCCAACGTTCGCGCGGAAGTTGGCGGCCCCCTCGCAAGTCGTCCGCCGTCCGCGTATCCGCGTATCCGTAATATAAGTATATCGTACATCGTGGATATCGTCCGGAGCGCGATATGCCGCGGACGATTCCGGACGGTCCAACGACCCGCGTGTGGCACGACGAACGTTGCCTCTGACGGCGGTTTCTCATCGAGGGAGCAGCGTCGCCGGCCTTGAAAACGGCGGGATTGTCCGGGACAACGGCGCCGATCCTGGTCGTCATCGTCGCCGTCGCCATGGCCTACGTGCTCTGGCGAGTGTTTATGAAGAAGTACTCCAAGGTGCGGTTGGGCATCAGGAACCTGCCGGTGAGTCGTCTCCACGATTTCGCATTACATACAATACGTGCGTCTTCCACGCGTCTCTCAACGCTTTCGTCTTCCTCCAACCCCCCTCTCTCCCCTTTTCTTTTTCTCTCGTTCTCACAGCTTACACGTTTGTTTCTCTTTGAATGCAAAAAATATAGAAAGTGCACGAGTGCGCGGGTACCTATTGTGCGTACGCGCGGCCACCGGTACCACTGGCTTTCTTTCGAGCCCACGGCGCTGAATTTTCAAGACATCGTAGATTATAGCCCTTTAATTGCGGGGGGAGGGGGAGGGATGGAGGGAGCGTAATAAGCACTCTCTGCAAACCTGAAATAAATGGGCTTAAAAGAATGAATAATAATAATGCTTGAGTGCGGCATGAAATAGGCACGCACGAAGTACCTACACAGATGCAATTTGTTGCAATCGTAGAGAGGATGGACGGTCTTTGCGTTTATCAGCTTTCATTTCGTCTATAACTATTATTTTTCACGGGGTAGATATAAATGAGTGTACCAGAGAAGACCATAATCAAGTTCTCGTACACAGAAGCTCAAAGAAAGAGCCGCTATTCACTGCAAGCTGTATTTTATTTGGAAATTCGAATGTAACTTGAAAATTTGCGATCCCCAACATTTTTTCATAAAATTCGTTTATTATTAATTTAAAATTAATAGCAATCAGTTATTAATATTAATCAATATATTATCGTTAACAGTTTTATTTGCATTGATCATCAATAGTCAAAATTTAACTAAAGTTAATCTTAAAGGGGATTTGTCAATCCATTTAAGCAATTAATAAATTTTAATCTCTGTCTTTTATTACATTTTTTGATCTTTTATTTTTTATTGTGATCTTCATTTCTTCATCCGTTTATTGCTTTCAAAAGAGAATGCGTAATTTTTGGTTTACACGGTCGACGATCCGGTCAGCTCGATACTCGTATATCGTGCGAATGCAAATGCAAACGGCGGGAGATGAACGCAAGATGATGCTGCGTATGCAAGTGCGCATCCTCGTCAAGGTTGGCATTTTACGGCCGGTCTCTCGTGCCGGATAACCGCGGTACGATCGCGGCGGCATACGGATTATGCAATTAGGCATCGTTCCATGCCCGGCGGAAATTCGCTTTCAATTGATAATTACCATCGTTAGCAGTCCTTTCCGCACACACACACCTGGAATAGATACATTTATTATGCCTGGATTTCATTTATTTCTCATGTATATTTTATTCTCTCCCCAATAAATTAAAATATTATAGAAACGTCTGCCCTGCTTATCACGAATAATTTCTCAGAAATCTTTCGTATTTATTATTAAATCGTGAAGTAAATACTTTACTTATTTACAAATAAATATAATTGCGCGGAGAAATTTTAATATTTCGCTTTTATTGAAATCGTGATATACGATGTTGTACTATATAAAGTAGATAGATATCTGGTGTTGTACAATTTTAGTAAACACTACTGTATTCTCTTTCTGATCCGAAAAATTGAGATGTTAATTGAGAACATCAATAAATCACTTTAATCAAAATTAATTATTGATATTTCCAAAAATATATCATTTATTATAATATTCCAGAACATTTTAATATTATCGTTTTTATGTTCCTCTTAATTGTAATTGCATTTGCTTTATTTGCATTTATATTATAATTTGGATTACGATTGAAGAAAAAAACAGCAAGTCTAAAAACTAAAGACGAGATTATTTCGTAGCAGTACATAAATGCATAAAAAAATTTTTTTTGTTGCAAACTTTGTACTTCCGATGAAAACGATTGAGGAATGCCATTCGATCGATCATGATAAATGGAGCTACAATAACGGTACAAAAAGTTGGAAAAGGTGCAACGACGCGGCCGCCTACGTATAATTATCCAATTATTATTACCACATTGGTATTAGCCGCAGTTGCATTCTAATAATTGCATCACTCCACGATATACTGACCTTCGTAAAACCGCTCTGCGCACGTCGTGTGCGGGCGATAATCACTCCAGATAGGTAGACATTCAAAGACAGTCTACATAATTTGTAATTGATATAACAAAGTGGAAAGAACCCGCGAGCAATGCACAAGAATTGTAGTGATTGTTATAATATCCCAAAGTAATCGAAACAATAACGGCGTTTAAAACAGGTAGCTTAGAAAAGCTACTTGTACTTATTACTAATAAGAGCAAGAATGCTCTTATTAGTAATAAGTACAAATTTCGAATAAGTTATTACTACTGTTTTTTAATTTTAATATGATCATTTTACTCGTTTTTTTTTAATTTTATATTTTTTGTTTTATAATAATGATTATACTTTCAATTAATTAATCATACTCTACGTCTCGAATCTTTGTCCTTTTCAAATAATCTATTATAGAATATATCTGGTTACAATTTGTTATTCTTTATTTTTCCAATTACGTTTGATTAATTTCTAATTGTGCTATGGAACGACTATCTGATAAAACAACAAGTTTTTTTTCTATTAATCTACAATAACATATTTCACATTATAATGTATATATATATATATATGTATATATATTTTATAATAATTATAAAATATATATATTTTTTATAATTAGAAATGTATAATGTTATAATAATTATAAAACATATTTTATAATTAGAAATGTATTATTATAATTAGATTAATTAAAAAAAACTTGTTGTTTTATCAGATAGCTAGCCGTTCCACAGCATAACGATTAGAATTAATTGAAGTAGTTGAACAGTCAGTTAAATTAAAACACTACAATAACGATTGATAAAAGTGTTCATCGACACACAAAAATATGTGCATTGACGATAGTAGTTTATATATTTAAATTACTAATTAACATATTGTTTTAAATTACATATAATATTACATATATTTAACTTTACAATTTACATTCTACTGTTTCTTGAAGTTACATCGATAACGGCAGTATTCTTATCGTCTATGTAGTTTGGCTGTTTTTTCTTCGTTCCTTTGTTTTAACTCACGGTTATACGTTGACTTTCGTACGCGTTTGATCGATCGACGAATAGTATTCCATTCCGGTCGACGTTTAATGAGACACACCCGGCCGATAAATTTCACGGAAGGAAGGGACTAAGGCTAACAGGGGGGAAAACGTTGCACTTCAATTTACGGTGCGTTCAATTACTCAGATTAGATGATTGAGATTTTTTACCGTAATAAATGAGGTTTTATCTTGCAGAGGGGAAATGTTAAATAAACATTGAGCGGTCACGTTTTGCACGAACACCTGATATTATTTCTCGCTTCTGTTACTTATCGTATGTTTCTCAATAAGCTGTTACCGCAATAGCACTGTAAAAGATAAGTTTTATTCGTTCCTGTCAACATATCATTGAGTATAGTTGGTGATTTTCAATTTACGTATAAACGCGAAAATGTTTTAAGAGAATACCAATGATTTAAAGTTTACCAAGTCTTTAATAACAAAAAAATCGTTGTCTTCTCTGGAACAAATATCAGAAAAATGACAGAAGTCATAATGTGTTAATTTGTTAAATACCTATTATATACGTATATTGTACAGGTGGAAAAAAATGTTATTTTATTCGATAACATTTTGACATGCCAATTGTAAGTAGATACTTATCTTTTGTTTTATCTACGCTATGTAACCGTACGTGAACAGGAAGATATATGAGGTGTTAGATAATTGAAAGTAAAAGAAGCGAGTGTAATCCCCTATTTGCAATCGGCGGATGACTTCATCATCGTGTCGCAATGGGCTCGCGACAAACACGCCTTCGCACAGTCTGTAATTGCCGACTGTTTAGATTGTATCTCTTGAACGTTGACAGTATCTTTGTTGAATCTCCTGACAAGATCGTGCTCACAGAGCGATGGTATAAGCAGTTTATCGTGATTATAAATATGCAGAGCAGATGGATATGCGGAGCAGCAGAACTGTTACTTGAAGCTAATGATTTCTAAAGATTCCGGGTGTAATGAAGAAAGTGGGAAGTGTATTGATTGTCACAAGATATGCGATCTCTAAGTTCCTCTAACTTAATATAAAGAATTTTGTTGTTCCTATGTTTTTGATATCAAAATATTCTACAGTTATATTGCATGTAACTATGTTATGTGTTCCGCATTTTCGAAATATATAGAAAAATCGCGAATTTTTTTACACGGGCTATTACCTAATTAATTGACGTGAAAAGATAGAGTCACCGCGTGATCGTCAGCCAGCAGACGTCGCGTTTGTCAGAGCAGCTTAATAAATAATTTTAATGCTGCGTGCTCGCGTGACGTCGGGGTCCACTGGGGTGCTCCGTCAGCGGCAGCGGGAGACGGAAGGAGGTATGAACGGTGGGAGTTTAGGAAAAGAACGAAGGAAGGGAGACGCGAGGGTGCAATTTAGTTTGCGGTTGCTCGAGTCGGGTTACGTTAGGCCAGTCCGACCGCCGGTCGGTCCTCGTGACCGTGAACCGCGCGGCTGACCTGCGACACAAACACGGTCTCTCTCCTCGGCTGGACCCCTTTGCCTCCTCCGCGTTTCCATCCCCCTTTCCGTCCTGTCCCCTTCGCCGTTGCCACCCATAAATCTACCTGCACCACATCGCGTCTCGTTTCTGCGGACCGCTCGCTCGGCTCTCTCTCTCTCTCTCTCTCTCTCTCTCTCTCTCTCTCTCTCTCTCGTGTTTCGCATTGTGCAGTCTTCGGGATCTTCGAGTGATAAATACAACCGTGGCCACCCTCTTCTCCTCTCCCGCTCCTATCCTTGTCCTTTAAATTTCATTTTTCGCGCTCTCCCTCTCTTTGGTCCAGCGTGAAACTGGCGATGCTAAATCGTATCCCGCTTTTATCGGCTCTCTTCTCTTAAAAAAGCACAATCGTGCTTCGCGACTTTACATCGACACGTAGAAGAAAGAGAGACAGAGAAAGAGAGAGAAAAACTATTCCGATCTATTCCGATATTTAATTTACTGAAACCAAAATTTGTCTTATGATTCATATAATACA